ACTTGAGATCACCAGAGCGCCTTGTGCACCGATTGGTGTAGTTTGACACTAGCCTAATGCAGTTCTATTCAGAGCTGTCAATATGGTAGTGATTGGCTACATCAAGGAGTGTATCAAGACTATAGTGGATAGACAGAGGATTCATCACTCCTGGGTACGGGAGAAGTTATCTCACGGCGCAATTCAGTAAATGGCAATGACACTAAAACTGTGGCCACAGTGGGATTGAGTTGTTGCTCTATCCAGTTTATAATACAGGTTATTGGTCCTGTAACTAAATACATAATATCGAGAATAACCGGAGGTTGACACTATTTCTATGCCCCGGTCTCGTCAAGATAACAGAGGATGAAAGGATCAAATTATACGGTAACCATATCATTGACAGGTAGCTACTTTGCTGAATCCGAATCTATCGAGTGGCCATAATGTCTTGCTAGGGGCCAATCTTGGTCTGTGTATTAGTGAGACGATTAATTGGTGTTAATCGCGATACTATACATTGCTGGTATGATGAGGAGTCTATGGGTCACACACATAGAAATAATTTAAAAGCGAGGAAGTTAGAAGGGCGTTTTCATGTTTTTAGGCGAAAGGGTATTTTGGTAATTTCATAGTGCAATTAAATTTGCTGAGGTCATAGCCTTTTTTTAATTTGTTAGAAAAATTAAATAATTGAAATTATGTTTAAATATGTGTTCGCATATATTTAAATAAATTATCATTATTGTTAAATATTAATATATTAAATATATATTAATTGATTTTAATTGAGATAATGATGAAATAAAATAAATATTTAATTGGGAGTGTTTGTAAATAAGGGGTGTTTGGGTTGGAGCCCAAGCCTATTCCATATGGGAATAGGGCAATTAAAATATTACTATAAAAGAAAAGTTTTAATTGTAAAAGGGAAGAGATGTTTTTTTCATTTTCACTCATTCATTGAAAAGGAGAAAAACACACAGCCCCAAAACATTCTCTCCCACGCCAGTTTTTTTTTTGATTGAAAATCAAATACTCTTCATTTCCTTCTTTGTTCTTAAGGCTAAAGAGGATCTAACAAATCCCTCTTTAGTTCCTTGCAATTATCTTCGTGTGGACTATGTCGGTTCAACCCTACACTTGGGTCAGTAGCAAAATACATTCAGAGACAACTTGTAGGAGCCTCCAAACGTGCGTATGATTTCTTAAACTCTAGATTAATTTTCTACAGATTCTTATTTTGATATAAACTGTAAATTTGTGCCCTGATCTTGGTTCTGTGGAACGATCCGTATTGTTAAAAGATTTTGTTTTCCGTTACGTAAATGGATCGCTTCCTAACAGGATCTTCAACAATACTTAGCAACACATGGTATCATTCATCAGACTACTTGTCCCAACACACCCCAACAAAATGTTATTGCTAAACGAAAAAATAGGCACTTATTAGAGGTCGTTCGTGTCTTATTAATAGAAGCTCACATACCGTTATCTTTTTGGGGAGAAACTCTTACTTCTGCAGCCTACCTAATCAATCGGGTACCATCTAGTTCCATTGGGTTCCAAAAACCTTTTCAGGCTCTTAGTAACGTAGTGAATGCTCCAACAGTCCCAAACTTACCGCCTCATGTTTTTGGCTATATCGCCTTGGTTTACCTCTATAAACATCAGCACAATAAGTTATTCCCTTGTGCATTGAAATGTGTTTTCGTTGGGTATGGTGTTCATCAAAAGAGGTATCGATGTTATCATCCTCCAACTCATCAAACGTTTGTGACGATGGATGTTGTCTTCCATGAAGAATTGATGTATTTTTCTGCTAAGTCTAAACTTCAGGGGGAGTATTGTCAAGAAGAAATTCAAACTCTTGACTATGTTGTTCAAGATGTGGGAGACTATGAGTCTCAGGCTAGACCTGTTGTTCGACAAGAAAATGAAGTGGATGATGAAGATGTGGAGGTGGTATCAAACCCGTTCGTAGAAACTTCTCAATCCGAGCCTCTCACTCCTGGTATGTCACAACCATCATTTGTTGAGAATGTTCCTGTTTTAGAGTTTGAACCAATTGAGTCTGAACCAATTAGGAAACAGTTACTACCACGGAGTATTAGAGGGATTCCTAAACCAACATACGAACCTGAGCTATCTAGTAAGGTCAAATACCCCATGAGCCATTATGTGTCTAACCATCGTCTGTCAGAATCAAATATGTCATTTGTGAATCAATTATCTACTGTATCTATTCCTAACAGTGTGCAGAAAGCCTTATCTGATCCAAAATGGAAAGTTGTAATGAATGAAGAGATGAAATCAGTACAGAAGAATGAGACTTGGGAACTCAGTGATCGTCCACCAAGAAAGAAGACTGTTGGATGTCGATGGGTTTACACTGTGAAGTATAAAGCTAATGGTACGATCGAATGATTTAAAGCCAGACTAGTAGCAAAAGGGTACACTCAAACTCATGGGATAGACTATACAGAGACATTTGCACCCGTAGCCAAAATCAACACAGTACGTGTCTTATTATCTTTGGCTGCAAATCTAGATTGGCCGTTACAGCAGTTTGATGTAAAGAATGTTTTCTTACATGGAATATTGTCTGAAGAGATCTATATGGATCCTCCACCAGGGTGTATTTTACCAGGGAAACATAGCCAAAAGGTATGTAAGTTAAAGAAGTCAATGTATGGGTTAAAACAATCTCCGAGGGCATGGTTTGGGAGGTTCACTAAGGCTATGAAGTCTTTTGGATACCATTAGAGCAATTCAGATCACACATTGTTCCTTAAAAAACAGCAAGGAAAGATCACTGCACTTATTGTATATGTGGATTATATGGTGGTGATAAGAAATGATCCAGAAGAAAGGAAGGCTCTGCAAAAGTACTTGTCAGAAGAATTCGAGATGAAAGACCTAGGTCCTTTGAAATATTTTCTCGGAATCGAAGTGTCTCAATCTTATAAAGGTATCTTTCTATCACAAAGAAAGTATGCCTAGGATGTATTGCAGGAAACTTGTATGTCAGCATGTCAACCAGCTGATACACCAATTGAAGAAGGTTTGAAATTGGGAGTCGAAGTTGATCAAGTTCCAGTTGACAAAGGGAGATACCAGCGACTTATGGGAAGATTGATGTACTTATCTCACACTAGGCCAGATCTTGCTTATGCATTGAGTGTAGTTAGTTAGTTAGTTCATGCACAATCCTAGAGAACAACATATGAATGCAGTCATGCATATCTTGAGGTATTTAAAACATGCTCTTGGAAAGGGAATCCTATTTACTAAAAATAAGGACTACCAAAATGTGAATGCATATACTGATGCTGATTAGGCCAGAGCAGTGGATGACAGGCGATCTACTTCTGGTTATTTCACTTTTGTAGCTGGTAATCCAGTCACGTGGAGAAGCAAAAAACAGAATGTTGTGGCACGCTCAAGCACCGAAGCAGAATTTAGAGGAATAGCACTTGGGATTTGTGAAGCTTTGTGGCTAAGATTTCTCCTGCAAGATTTGGGCTATCAACCTAATCAACCAATCCAGCTATATTTTGATAATAAAGTAGCATGTGATATTGCTCACAATCCAATTCAACATGATCGTACGAAACATGTTGAGGTAGATAGATTTTTCCTCAAAGAAAAACTAGATGAAAAGATTATTGAATTACCATGATTCGATCAGAGGATCAGCTGGCCGATATTCTTACCAAGGTTGTCTCCAAGCGTATTTTCTCATAAGTGTTAGACAAGTTGGGCATGTGTGACATCTACGCACCAAATTGAAATTTTCTGAATATTTCAGGAATATATTGTAATCTCTTAATTATGTTAGTCTTAGGATATTCATAATGTATTTGATATCCTATAATCTCCTAATTATGTTGGTATATTATATTGACATAATTAGGAGATTACGTAGAGTATATTCTATCTATAAAAACCTGTAATCATGAGTGTAAAGTAATGAATTGAAAACATACAATTCTTCAATTTCACAACAAAATGTAAAAACAAAAACAGTAGAGCTTATGGAGGGGAGCTCTTTACCTCTGATAGAATAAACTATCTTTTGAATACTGAAATTCTCAATGCCTTTTTTCTAGAGAATCAAGATTATTTATACAACTAAAAGCTAGTGAAAGATCACATGTTAGTTTGAAATATTCAAATTGCAACTGGTTCTCTCATGATCTCCTACAGGTGCAACAAATGAGAAAGCTATGGAGAAAAACTTGTGAAAAGATATCTTGAAAAGCTGGACTGTTAAATTTGTAAAAGACGCGTACATAATACTAATTCAAAGAATTGGAAATTTTGATTTTAATATAATTAGTTTGTATTAGTGAACTTATTAGCTCTTCCATTTTTTAAACTAATAAAGACTTAAAAATATATTTAAGAAACCTAATATCTAATAGCAAAAGGGTATAGTCAAAATGAAAATTTTGAAATATTTTTATATGCAAAAACAAACAACTTAACACCTATGAGACTATTAAAGCTACAAAAAATAAATAAATCTATCATTCGAATTTAACTATTCATTCATATTTAGTTTATAAAACAACCTTAGTAGAAACTGGCAAGGAGTATTAATGACCATTTCTTGTATTGGTGGGGACAACTGTAATTTTTTGAGTTACTGGAATTGTAGATCAATAGGTTACAAAGATTTTAATTTTCATTCTCTTGGTAAGACAGAATTAAATTGTCACCAAAACTGTCTTTTAAGTTTATATGTAGGTTGAGATATAGTCTCTTGATACCCCAAAAGACATTTGATCTATTTAATCAAACCATATCCAATAAATATATTATTTAACCAAAAAAAATGCTTTTGATTATTTGAAAGCATATGTCATTTTTTATGTATATAGAAATCAAATTATAAACTTCAATAATGTCTTCCTTACATCATTGTCTCCACAATAATCTCAATAATTTAATCACTTACATCATTTCAAATTTGAAATTTACAAAGTGTTTGACTATAAATTTCCTTCTTTTTTTTTTTTTCTTTTTTTTTTTTTTTTTGTCGCTTTCTTTATTCCCTGTTAAAGGGAAAATTCAAAAGTTTTTAAAAAATAAAATTGAAGAGTTATTTTTATCTCCAAAAAATAAAAGACCCAAGACAGCTAAATATTATTACTCCGCAAACCACACATAACATATCTAATCTTCCTTCTCTCTTCAATTTCTTCTCCTTCCTTTCTATCCTCCTTTCCATATACTCCTCATACCTTTTCTTTCCTTTCACTTCCCTCCCCCTTATATTTCCCCTTTTACCCTCAAATCCCCTGTCTAGAATTACCAAACTATCCTTCCCATTCAAATGCATTCCATCCATATCCTCCACCTGTAAACACACTTCGCTCACGTGCATCTGCCCTCCCTTGGTCCCACCGCACGTGACCACAATCCCACAATGCGACAACTCCCAACCCGACCCTTTTTGACCGCCCGATAAAATTGAACCAAACCGGATTTGTATTTCTCCACTTAGCCAGTGACGCTGTACGCTCACCGCCTTGTAACTCGATAAGTTCATCGCCCGAAGTCCAATCGGGTCGATCAAGATCCAGCTTAGCATAAAATCCTCTTCCAATTCTTGACACGTGTTATCAGTACCTGGGTACGGTATTCGGGTCGGAACCATATCTTTCGGGTCAAGTACGTCAACTCTAAACGGTGAGCACATGAACCACCCGCTCTCCGTCTCAGTTTCCACAACTTTACTGAAAACGAGCTCGTTGCGATGGTAAATATCAACGGCCGAGATTAACTCTGATGAACGGCAGTGATCATGGTTTGTGGTGGTGGTGATGTCGGGGTCGGGATTAGTGAAGGAATTAGAGAAGAAGGAGCGGGGGCCGTGAGGAGCGAAGGTGGAGATGAGTTGCTGTATACGTGGCGTGTCGGTGGAGGGCCACGTGGAATGGCAAATGTTTGTCCAGAGGGATTGTTTAGAGGTGAGGGAAGAGAGTTGGGAGGAGACGCAGGCGGCCGAGGCCAGAGTAGGGCCGTCTAAACGTGTTAAGATATGAGTTTCCAAGATGTCTGAATGGACGGCGGAGAGTGAACCATTGACGACGGAGGATGATGGTGGTGGTGCTTCAACGGAGGAAGCCATGTTGGGCTGACGGAGTCTTAACCTTTTGATGAGTTTTGACTTTGATTCAAAATGGTTTGGAGTCGGAAGTTTATATAGGAGTTGGAGTGAAAGAGGAGAGAGTTTATATGAAATGACGGTTTTGTAAATGACTTTTTGTTTGAAGTTAATTACAATCCTGTCATTCCCTTTTGTTCTTGTAAATTTGGTAGGAACCAATTAATTAACATTTATTATTTTTATACTATAATAAATAAATAAAAAATAATTAATTTGCTTAACAGTATAAAACTATTTAAAATATGTTTTTGTTATTAAAATCGAATCCAAATAGTATGATATAAATTTTATAATAATATGAATAATTTAAATTTGTTGGTAGGAAGAAGGTGAGTTGATTGTTATAACATGAAAGTTGAAACAAAGCCCAAAGGTGGTAGCTTATTCACAAAAAAAGGAGCTTGTGGCATTCTGGTAAATTTCAAACATTACATTAGCCTTAATGAAAAAAAAAAATTTAATAATCCATGGCATTTTGGTAATTATAAGAGTAACCAGGTTGGATTTAGGTAATTTTGAACGTTGATATAGTCCAAGGGACAAAGTAGAAACTACGTAGCGCTTGCTTTTATTTAAAATATTTGTGGTTTGAATAATTTAATACAATAATTATCATCATCTAAATATTTTAATCGCAATGCTATTTAAAAATAATTCATGGATTATGATTGATTTAATAGTATATATTTACATTCTGTCTATATAAACAATATATAAACCGGTGATGGGTTTACATCATTGTTCCAATATTAAATATATCTTAGAGTTAAATTAATATATCAATGCTTGGCTGAAAATGGACGGATAAGTTCAAATTTGGTATCACAAATTAGATGGATATTATAATTTTATTTTTAGTAAACGAATTAGTTGTCTAATTAGCAGTTGAGTGCCCGTGGATACAAATTGTCAAGCTTCTAAATTGGATTTTTTTTCTGGCAGTATTTTCTGTAGAAGCTTTATTATTAATTAATATTCAACTTGGTGGATCGTGCATGTACTAAACCATTACGTATTCAACACGGTTCAAGATCATATATTATAAATATAATCCCTTTAATTTTAGAGGTTTTATATAAATTTTAATTAAATAGATTCATATTTATTTGTATTAGTTTCTTAGATCAATCTAGATTTTAAAAAATCATATGTTATGCAAACAAGTTGTTTCTGTAGTTTTCTTAAATAGAAACTTGAACTCTTCATTAATAAAAGATAATCATTGTATGAGTTAACAGAATTTTGTTCAAAGTCCAAAAAAATAAATTAGTATTTATTAACGAGAGTTCTATCAGATTCTATTAAGTCTTGCAATAATTATCTTTTGAGCAAACAACTTTTCACACCCAAGGTTTGCCTTAATCACTTTTCCACCCAAAAAGTTTCAAAATACCACTTTTTCACCCAAAGTATATTCCGTTACTATCCAAAACTGATTCCGACGACGAAAATTCTCTCCGCCACCACCATTTGAACCTTTGGTATTCTCTCTATAAAATCCCTCTCATTGCGATACTTGATTTCTCGTCGAATTCTAGCCACCATAAAGCTAGGTTTTCCCATTTGCAGCTAATTTCCATCGGTCACCACCATTTAATCCACCGGTCTCCACTCTACAAAACCCCTCTTACCTTAGCTCCTAAAAACTCACCGAACATCAGCTGAGAAAATGAAGTATATTTTGGGTATTAACGAAATATAAACTTTAGTTGAGAAAGTGGTATTTTGAAAAAAAAAAAATTGGGTTGAAAAATGTCATTAAGGCAAACCTTGGGCGGCCAAAATCGTTTACTCTTATCTTTTACTAAGAGGACATCAAGTTATGCACTTATGAGTTTTCAACAATATAAATTTAGTATTTATTCAACAATTTTCTCATTATTAATTAGATATATTTAAAAGAAAGTTAATAAATTAGATTTAAACCATCATAATCATGCTAATATAAATTAGTATAATATAACTTGAAGAAGCTTTAGCATAATACAGAGAGCTATAGATTCCCAAAGAATGTGTTATTTATAAATAAAATAACAAATTGACTAATTGATCCAAAATTATGTATCACAACACTTGCTGTTGCCGGCTTTGAAGTAAGTAGATAATTAATTGTAATTTTGGGACAATTAATTGTAATTAGGAGTCACTTGTGGAAAATGACTCAAATGCATGGGCATCCAAAAAGGGTATCAGAAATAGTCAATTATATTAATTCATAATTAAGCTAATTAAGATACTTAATCAGACCATTAAAAATGATGCTTAAATGACTTTTCATATATGCATGGACTACATTTCACTGGTGGTCCGTGTTAATATTAAAATAAAATTTCATTTGATGTAAGTGATATTGATGTTTAGCTAATTTTCAATTTCAAGGATTAGGGCTTTGATGTTAACATAAATATTTGTTTAAATGAAGCAACTACCAAAATATATTAACAATAATATTCTTTTTCAAAGTTCATATCTCCCATGATGTAATCCAAAGTTTTAATTAAAATTAATTTCATATTTTATATCATTTGCCATACTAAATAATTAAGGTGTTTAAAATCTAAACACGCCAATATATTCAATCAAATTAGATTAAGTAATACCCCACACATAAACACTTGATTAAAATTAAATTAGATAGATTGAAATGGGTTTATTTGATTTTAATATAGAATTGGATTGAATTGAATTTTAAGCAATGAATTAAATTAAGAGTAAACGACTTTTCCTACCCAAGGTTTGTCTTATGACACTTTCCCACAAAAAAAAGTTTCAAAATACTATTTTTCCTCTTAAAGTTTATATTATATTAATACCCAAAATACACTACACTTTCTCAGTTAGTGTTCAGCAAGTTATCAAGAGCCAAAGAAAGAATAGTTTTGTAAAGTGAAAGCTGGTGGATGGAATAGTGGTAACCGATTGAATATTCACCGCTGAAATCAGATAAAAACAAAAAAAAAACCCTACCTTTGTGGTGGTCATTAATTGATGAGAAATCAGATATCGGAGTGAGAAGGTTTTATAGAGAGGAGATCAGAGATTCAAATGGTGGTGATTGAGAGAAATTTTACCTGATTTTGGGTAATAATAGAATATAAACTTTGGGTGGAAAAATATCATTAAGGTAAACGTTAGTGGGAAAATGTCGTTTACTCTTCAATTAATGGATTAACATAAATTGGGATGTGCGAGTTGACCAAATTAAAACGAGTAATTAAGCTGTCATTTATTAGAATTACACCTAATTAATAGTTGCATTGTTGAATCCAGGCATTTTTTTTAGTGTAACTGACCAACCATAGCTGTAGCTCAACTGGTTTTGCATTGTGTCAAAATAATTTAAAATATTTCTTTGGGGCAGCTAGAATCGTCTGACAAAATATATATCTATTTGTTACTAAAAAAATCTAATCTAGAGTTAAATTTTTGTTTAGAGATTTGGAGTTTTCTACCTAATTTAGATTTAGAATCTTCTTTTTTAATATTTATTTTCAATCTTATAACAATTTATAGTTTAATATACAGCATTAATTTATAATATAGAATTATAATACTTTATAAAATTTGTATTGGCTCGATAAATTTACTAAAACAATATAATCAAGAAATAGACAGACAAAAAAAAAAAAATTAATTTATAAAATTTATCTTCAAGTGTCTCAATTGTTGTTCATGAGACACTTGAAAAAGCACATTGTTTTTATTGTAAATAATCAAAAATGTTTAGTTTCAAATACTAATTAAGAGGAAGGTAAAAGGTCAACTACAATCGATGAACTTTAGTTTTCACATTTTAATAATTTTGGTGATTGATGCATTTATAATTCTTGATTTTAATTGTGTTTTGAGTTACTCATTTAATTAAAGTTTTACACATGCAAGCAATATAGATTAATCATCCTCTTCAAGTTATAATTCTTTCATTAATTAATCATAATTTCATAAAACTGATTTATGATTACCTTAAAAAAAGCATTATATATATATATATATAAATTTTTTTTGACAAATACAGTTTACAAAGAAACTGAATCCCAACCACATCCCGCCTCCTAAAGTTCCGTCACAAGGAAGATTCGAACCTAGGAGGTTGCCACGGCTAAATCAACTTCCTCTCACTAGACCAATGATTATTTTTTTCCATTAATACACACACACACAAATAAAAAAAGGTTTTCATTTTGTTTTTCAAATAAGTATTAATATATTTATCTCCGAGTTATAATTCAGAATATTAATTAATTATATTAAACCGATGATGATAACTTGAAAAACTTTAGACAAAATAGGATAATATCTATTTATCAAAGTACACATATTTTTTTTTTAAAATTATTTTTCTCATTAATTCTGAAAAATGACTTTCATTGTATTTTTCAAATAAGTATTAATATATGTATTTAGGGGTGATATTATGAGGATATAATGTTTTTAATATTTTATTATCGAAGCGGATGAGTTTAATACTAATAGATCTCAAAATCATGTACATGAAATAAACCCTTGATAGACTATTATCTTTTGATTGATAAATGTGTCCCTTTATTGATATAAATAAAACTTGTGTTTTTTTCTTTACTTATTTTCAAAAAAAAAAAAAAAAAAAATGTCCTTCAATTAATAATAACCCTAAAAAAAATCATTGTTTAGACGAGGAACTTTCAAAATGCAAATCCTTTCATGAATTTCAAGAGTAGTTATAATGGTAGGACTAATTAATTTTATTACTATAAGAAGGTTATAACTTAATAGAGGTGTAGTTAAAAAAATTTCTTATTTCATAATTCATGTTTTAGTAGTACAATATTAGGTTTTCAATTCATGTTTTAATAATATTAGGGTTTCAATTGCTTACTTTTGAAACGGATAGAAGATTGTGCTTTGAAACCAACACAGATAACTGTCATTCATGGAATTGTGAAACCACAGACAATTGCCAATCGTTTTAAGCATTACAAAATTAAGACCCCCAATGTCGATGAATTGCAAGTTACAAATGAAGTGAATGAGGAGAATCAAAGAGTCATTGTAGAATTGAGTGATCAGATTCGACAGCTTCACTACACTAATCGAATGAAT